GGGGGGTCTGTCGGGAGGGGGCAGTGTGTTTGGGTTCCGATACAGATGTCAACCAGCGCCGTCTCCTAGGCACAGACAGCACGACTCTGCCGCAGATAAACTGGGAATTTAACTACAGACGTCCATGAGAAACTATGCTTTGATGCACACACACACACACACACAAACACACACACATGCTGCCTTCACTGACGGTGAAAGTTGAATGAATATGAAGTGGGTTCCTCCCCAGATGCTGAACAGATGCATTGTGGGATACATTGTCTCAGTGCTGCATTCCTGGTCTGTCACGTTTAGGAAATGTCAGGATTTTCTTTTTTTTTATGTCTACTTTGTGTTTTTGAAATGACCACAGACTGGGCCGCTCCGAGGCTGCGTGTGGGCCGCACGTGGTCCGTAAGCCGCTATTTGATTACGCCATCTGCGGGGGTTAACTGATGTGGACTGTAGCAATATTTTATCATTTATTTGTATCTATATGTATATTATTCATTAATTCATACATTGTCCAGTAGGTGGTGTTGTGAGCATATGTCCTGGAAAAGTCCTGGAAAAGTCCTGGAAATACTTAGTGATAGCAGATGATTTAACGTAAAGTTCAATGTATTCAAAACGTTTTTATCCAAATGGTAAAAAAAAAAAAGAACTGCTGCCCCTAGTGGCCTTATCAGCAAGTACAGCACCCCTAGACTGGAGGTCTTTATTTATTTAACTTAGGCTGGGCAGATGAGGGGGTGGAGATAACCGCCGCGGTCACAAGCCTTTTCATTACAGATCGGAACGATGCCCGTGGCTCAGCGGTCGCAGACCTCCAGACCTTGGGCTGCGACCCCCGAATTTGTTCCAAGCAAACTTTCACACCACGGTATCAGACGAACAGCGGCCACAGATATCCTCAAGCTACGACAGCTCGCTAATTAGCCCGCTAGTTAGTCAGCGTCGGGGTCGGGGCTTCACGCCACAACGTCAGCACCTGAAAGGGTTCTGCGGCCAAAGGTGGTCGAAGGAGGAGCGGGGTGGAGGGACCGCGGCGGACCGTATCGGAAACGAAACGTGTTGCAGAGGTCGGAGGTCGGCGTGTGCACGGTGGCGTCGCATCTCAGTGGTAATTTAAA